GCGGCCCCGCTCCGCCGCGCGGGGCGGGCGTCCTGGCACTGCCCTGCGGGGAGGGCACGACCCCTGCCGGAGTCTAGGCGTCGCCTCAGGGCTGCCTGCTGCCGGGTTTGCACTGCAACAGCGACACGTGCGAGCGGCGCTCCTCAGCCTTTTTCCTGCCAGGCCCCACTTGTTAAACATGGATGGCCAGCCACCGCCCAGGGCCCCTCAAGGCTGCCTCGCTGCCCCTCACCGTGTGGGGCACGGGGAGGCAGCCCCTCGCAAGGGAAAGCTCCGGGTCCCCACAGTTTTTCTCTCCTTGACAGGAGAACCCCTTTTTAAACGTTGTCGAGCCGCTTTTCAAGTTTGTTCACCACCTTTTCACATAGGCTGGCAACCCACTTTCGAGGCGGGGCCCACAGGTTGAGAAATCTGCCCTACCTAGAACATCTCTGCTGCTGCCAAAGCCATCAAAAGGCCACGGCAGGGCAGGATCCAGCATGCTCACTGGCAGCATGTAAGGGATGTACGTGGGTGCACGTGCACCCCCTGAACGTGGCAGTGCAGCCCCTGCAAAAAGGTGCCCGTGGGCAGTCGCCGCTCGCCACCCCCCACTTCGCTGCTGACACTGCCGGTGGCATCTGCAGGCAGTCTGCGACCACCGCTGGCCGCCACCAGCGCTGTCTGTGGGGGTCACCGACTACTGATCGGTGCTTGCCCCCCAGCACCGACAGCACTGCAGCTGTCTGGGAGCTCCCGACTTGCCACGGCCACACTCCCACGGCCAACAGCACCACTGCTGCCTGCGGGAGCTTGCTGTGCCCACCCCCAGCCTCCGAGGGCATGCAGCATTCATGGACATGCTTGTTTTGAACCTCTGACCCTCACTCTCCTCCAGGGTTTAAATGACAGGGGAGCTTGGGGGACTCAGCCCCCCCCATAAGAAATGAGAGCCCCCCGGTAAGATTTTAAAATCATAACCTGGGGGGCCTCTGATTTTATTAGGGCATCGTCAGGGGTGACTGGTGCCTGCTGAGTCCGGGGTGGGGGATGCAATTTGTGGGCAGGCCACTCCTATACTTCTGTGCTGAGCCTTAGTGCCCCCCAACACACCGCCAGCCTGTACAGCAAAAAAACTGTCCTGTCCTGAGCGGTGTCGAGTTGAGTCAATCGGCGGGGGGGCGGGCATGTGCCCCTCTGTGCTTCCCCTACCAGTTGCCTGTGGGCATTGTGATGGGCAGACCAATTTTTTTTGCGGATCCCCCCAAGAGTCAAAGCATAATTCAAACCCTGCTCCCCTCCCTGTTTTTTTCGTTGTCACAAGAAATCTGTTGTCCCTTTTCCCCCCGTAGCCTCCCCGCCTAAGGGAACCCAACAAGAGACTTGGTGGCTGAGCCCACATGTTTTAAAGAGTGACAGATAGGCCTAAGGCAGGATCATTCCTATCCAAACCATCCTTTACGAATCCATAATCTAACCTCTCAGTAAAACTACTGTCAACCCTGACCACTGAGCTCAGTGAGGACCTCTGCTTAAAATTAGCACAGGCAAACCCCGCTTAGTGCTCTTAATTGGTTCTGGAAAAACAGAGCACTAAGCAAAACAGCATTAAGTGAAACCCAGTTCCCCATAGGATTTAATGTAAATAAATATAATTGGTTCTGCACAGCTTGCCAGCCCAGACCCTACCCAGCGGGGCTCCAGTTGGCACGTGGGAAGCAGTGGGGCCACCTGCCCACCAGCACCCGTGCCCTGCTCCACCTAGTAGGGCACCCTTGAGGGCACCCAGCACTGGAACTATCTGCCACCGCCGGATTGCTGCAAGCTCAGGTCAGTTTTCATGCCCCGTGGATGAGTGTGTGACTGGAACAGGGCACGGGCTGCAGCCCGGGGGCAGGGGAGACTCTGCCCCACTGCAGCCTAGAGCAGGGGAAAATGCATGTGTGTCCTGCCACCCTAGGCCCCGCGTTCCCGCCACCCCTCCAGCCTGGGCCCCATGCTCACGCCCCCTGCCCACCTGCCCCTTCTTGCTGCTGCCGCCACTCCGCCCCACCTGCCTGCCATCCACAGGCTCCTGCCAACCCACCCTGGGCCCTACCAGCCCTGACCCTGGGCACCAGCCCAGGTTCTGTGGTCATGCCCCCCTCTCCCTCACCCCCCCACCCTGCTTTCTCACTGCTGCCACTTCTCCCTGCCAGCTCTAGCACCACATGCAGGAGCAAATCCCACCCTTCTGCTGCCTTGCCGGCTATCACTCACCTCTGAACTTGCTGCCACTGTTGCCGCTCCTTCTTTCCAGCCCCACACTGAGCGTTATAACAAAACGCTCTCAGTGTTAAGTGAAACTGGGTACATATTTTAAATGAGTGCTGTAGCAAAATGGTAAGTGAAACTGCTTTAAGTGGGGGGTGCCTGTAGTACAATCTAGCTTATTGTGCCTGTGTGTCAGCACCATGGGTCAAACTGATGGGGGAATGAGGAGATCCTGCCTGCAGGATGTTGGTGGCACTCTGAATTCCTATTTGGAATCCCTCCTGAACTAGGTTTGCAGCTTGCATCACTTCTGGTCTTTTGGCTCAGATCAAGTATATACCTGTTCAAGGTCAAGTGTAGGGAGCATCTGAAGTCCCAGTCAGGGATGGAGGATGCTTGCATCCAAATCCCAAGACCTCCAGGCTTGGATCTGCATGTAAGATGCCTGCCAATGGAATTGGGAGTATCTGAAGTGGGAGTATGTCCCAGGGTGAGAGCCTGAGACCGAGGGTACTCACCAGTTGTATCACCACGCATGTTTAGAACGATCAAGTTTTGCCTGCTCAATCGATGTGGTTGTTGGAACGATTGAGCTCTGCTCAGTTGATATGATTTGGAATTGATTTGGCTGATTTGACCTGGAACACAAAATTTAATATTAAAAACCCCCAAAAACCTGTGTTTGCATTACCCAGCACTCTGGAGAAGATCAGGGCTGTGGTGCCCTGGCTGAGAATCACTGGTTTAGAGACAGGCAGGATGCAAATCCAGGCCTTTTTTTTTGAGAAGCAAGTGATAAAGGGATATTATCAATTCACAAATCACTCCACTGGAGTCTGTTCTCCTACAGGTTGACAGACCTCCTGTGTTGGGGATGCCAAGTTCAGGATGAGATCGGGGAGGACAAGCCACAAACCGCACGCTGAATTGATCAGGTAAGTCCTAAGGGACCCACTAAGAATCAAGATAGGGGAGTACTAAGGGCACCTATTGGGGGGCTAAGGTGTCTCTACACTAATGCTAGAAGTATGGGAAACAAGGAGGAGGAACTTGCACTCCTGCTTGCAGACAAAGATCTCGACCTGGTTGGTATACTAGAAACCTGGTGGGACCCGACCCACGATTGGGCAGTGGGCATTGATGGCTACAGCCTATACAGGCAGGATAGACTGGGGAAAAAAGTGGGAATCTCCAACACACCTATAGACTGGGGAGTACAATTCTGAGCACCACATCAGTGGAAAGAGATCTTGGAGTCCTGGTAGACGCAAAAATGAACATGATCTGCCAGTGTGACGAAGTAATAAGCAAGGCTAAACGCACTCTTCCTTGCATCAGCAGGTGCATCACGAGCAGGTCTAGGGAAGTGATAATTCTCCTCTATGCGGCATTGGTAAGGCCACAGATGGAGTACTGCATCCAGTTTTGGGCACTGCACTTCAAGAGGAATGTGGATAACCTTGAGAGGGTCCAGAGGAGGGCCACTTGTATGGTTGAGGGCCAGCAGGTAAGACCTTTGAAGAGAAACTGAGGGACCTGAATAACTGCAGCCTCTGCAAGAAAAGGCTGAGAGGTGATCTTGTGGCTGTCTACAAACTCATCAGGGGGCCAGCAGGAAATAGGGGGCACTCTGTTTACCAGGGTACTGCTCGGGGTTACCAGATACAATGGCCACAAACTGAAGGAGAATAGATTTAGATTGGACATAAGGAAGAAATTCTTTATGGTGAGAGCTGCCAAAATATGGAATGGGCTTACAAGGGAGGTGGTGCTTTCCCCTACCTTGGAGATGTTCAAAAAGAGATTGGATAGGCATCTGGCTGGGGTTACTTAACCCCAGCACTCTTTCCTGCCTGGAGCAGGGGGTCAGACCTAATGATCTGCCAGGTCCCTTCCGACCCTAGAAATCTATGAAATCTATGTGTCAGTCCTGTCAGGCTCAGGAGGCACACAGGCAGTCCCCATTAATCAAAACATGTGCTCCCCATGCAAGTCATAGCAAGCACACTCCAGATTAAATGGAAAAAAATGATAGTGCCATGGTAAAAGAGAATGCATGACTGCCGGAAGGGTATACTCAATGTATGCAGTAAGAAACCAGCTGCTAGCATTTGCTGTGAAAAGCTGCAG